CGGTACCGGGAACCGAACTCACGACCTTGCACTTGCCAGGCAGGCGCTTTGCTGCTGAGCTAAATCCCCAGCCCCAAGAAACTTATTTTCTAAGAAGACAATGATGAATCAAAAATTCTAGAGGAAGTCTTTTTTTTGTAAGTCTTATTTAAAACACACACACATTCCCCCACTTTTCCCCAGAGAATATACTTGCTTTTAACTCCTCTCTTACTACACAAATTAAATTAGTTTGGACTAACTTAATTTTGAAAGGATAACAGAGTTCCATATTGTTTTTGTTCTAATATTCTTATGAAAATAATGTTAAATGAGACAGGAGCCAATAGCAAAAGTGAATTTGCAGGTATATAAGTGCCAGCCTGTATTAACTGATAACCTTTCTGTTTTTCTAATCCCTATCTCTTTTTAAATTATGTATAACTCAAAAGACAACTCAAATGAAGGCCAGTAATGATTTTTTAAAGTTTCAATGATGTGAAATAAATTCCTACTCTTAAGGGGGGAAGAGTGATTTTTGTGGGTCAGGGGATAGGCAGAATGGGAGTTAGCGTTTAATGTACATGGAGTTTCAGTTTGAGCAGAGAGAAAAATTCTAGGGATAAATGATGGTGATGGTTTCACAATAGGAATGTACTTAATGCTACTGTATACTTACAATGCTTAAAATGTTAATTATGCACATTTTGCTACAATTTAAAAATCACACATAAATAAGACAAGGCAAATTCAGACTGGGAGAAGATATCTGTAATACATGGAGTTAGCAAAAGATTCGTATCTAGAGTATATAAAGAGCTACTGCAAATCAATAAGAAAAAGACAAACCAAGTTAAAAATTGACAAAAGATCTGGACAGGCATTTAATAGATCCAGATGGCTAATATAGTGTTCAAGGAAATGAAAATTAAAAGCACAGTGAAATATCACTACACCCCTTTTCTCCTGAGTGGCTAAAATACTTTAAGATTCCCATTACTGGTCATGATTGGAGCCACTGTAAATCTCTTACCTTGTTGGTAGAGTGTAAATTGGTACCACAAATTTGGAAAACTGTTTGCAAGCAACAATTGAAGCTAATCCTAAAACAATTCTATAACTTGGTGATTTCTCTAAGTATTTCCAAGAGAAATGAGTGCATCATATTCCAAAATGCATACATAGAAATGTTTGCTCAATATTTACTCATGATAACCAAACTTGGAAAACAGCTCATCAATAATAGAATAAATTGTGGAATAATAGAAAGCTACACAGTCATGAACATTTAAGTGCTATGCACAGTGATCTGGGTGAATTTCATGGACATAAGGATGAGTAAGATGCAAGAAATTATATACTGTATGATTCCATTTATAAGAAGTTCATAAACAAATAATACAAATTCTATGTAGCAGTTACCTTGGGTGGGGGTTTTGAGAGAAACAAAGGAGACGTTTGGGATGTTGTGAATGTTCTGTTTTGATCTGAGTGGTCAAAATGCCGGGCATGGTGGCACACGCCTGTGATCCCAGCACTCGGGAGGCCGAGGCAGGAGGATCATTGTGAGTTCAAGACCAGCCTGGGTTTCAAAGTGAGTTCAAGGCCAGCCTGAACTGCATAGTGAGATCCTGTCTCAAAAAGACAAAAAGACTAAAAAAAAAAAAAAATTCATGGTCTGTGCGGTGGTTACATGTGTGTCTATGTTAAAATTATACACTTTAAACACATGCAAGCTTTGTATAATCCTGTACTTTAATTTTAAAAGGATATCACATCAAAGTGAAGATACAGAATGCAAACTAGAAGATATTTATCAGCCACACACTTGACAAAAGATTGATCTTCAGAATATACTTTGAGATCTCTTAGAAATCAACCGAGAAGAATCAAACAGCGCAGTAGAAAAAATTGCTGGATGATAAACAGGAATTTCATAGCAAGAACTCTGATTGATGGTCAACAGACACACACAGATATGCCCAACATCCCCCAGAATCAGGGAAGTGCTGAATGAAACTACAAGATTGCATCTTATGCTCGTGTGATGGTCAAAGCCTCGGAGGCCGGGCACAAGCATCTCGGAGAGCGACTGAGACTGAAAAGCTCTCACATGCCTTGCTGGTGAGACAATGAAGTGACACGGCCAATTAGAAGTGTAGAATGGTGTCCATGTGTGAAGTTGTAGATCCAGAGCTCAGTGGTTCCAATCAACGTCCGCTGGACAGAACATCACAGCAGCACTGTCCACAAGTAGCAAACACCCAGGAACAGCACGAACGCTCACAGAGAGGAGAATGTATTCACAGATCGTGGCCCATCTGTACAGGGGTGTGTGATGTAGCAGAGCAAATGCAGGCACAGCAGTGCATTCAACATGGATAAATTTCCGTACAAATAGGAAAAAGCCAAGTCTCAGAGGCCTGTAAATGGCCTGATAGTCTTTTTATAGAATTCAGAATCAAGGAATCTGGAAAGTATGTTGTCACTCACACACACACACACACACACACACACACACACACACACACACATTTGCAATGGACATCAAGGAAACACCAAGCACACAATGCTGGTGGCAGGGGTGGGGAGAGGGGTGTGGTGGAGAAAGTGCTTGTTGGTGGATGTGAGTCCTGGTGTAGTCTCGTTCTTGGGTTGGGTAAATAGTGGCGCCTTATGTTATTAAATAAACAGGGTCATGCATCCATCATAGCCTATTGTGAAACAAAGATTATGGAGAACTCAATTCTACGTTACTAAATCATCTTCAAAAACTGAAAGCTGTACTAGGTTACATAGTTCTGGGCCTGGAAGATTTATTCTTCCCTCCTAGATCTGAGGCTTCTGCTGCAAGTATGCTCTGCCATGATTCTTGGTCAGGCCAAAAGGCATTTGAACTTGATTCCCTTCTTCATATTTATTGGAGCCAGAGGCACCACAGCTGGTATCACTCAAACCAGATTTCAGCTGAGACAGAAAACATAAACCAGAACCTTGGAACTGGGTCCCGATGATCCATCCAAATGCTACTCAGTAAATGGATTACAGAAAACTGGAGAAAGAAGTCCAGATTTCTGAATAGTATGTTTACTTTGAAGCTAATTAGACTGAGGACCTCCTAGAAGACTTCCACCGCTATGGATTCATTAAATATGAACTTATCGGTATTTTTGCTTAACCAGGTGACATTACTCCTCCAGGGCATGGGATTGTGCAGGGGTGTATGCTGGAGTTTACTCTGATGAATTTGTATCTGAATCTTGACAGAAGAGAATTACATTACGGAATGTGACTGAGAAATGGGGATTCTTTTGGCTTGGTATTTTGTAATCCCTAATAAACTATTCTTTTCTCAGATTAGCCTTTGAACAACTCAGGGGAAGGAGTAAGGAGGAGAATGCCCAGGAAATTACCTCAGCTGCAGCTTTTCCACGGGGAAACGCGGGACCTGCCACGTGGGGCAGATCCCCTACACCACTCTTTCACTAGCGGCTCTGGATCCAGACCCCAGAAAACTTCCTCCTTCCCCTTCATGACCACACTTTAGTGCATTTTTACTGGAAGTCTGTCCATGTCATCTTATTGGTTTCTTTAAGTGATCTTGTATCATTTCCTGTCTTGTGATTGTCTCATCAGCATTGAGTCCTTGGTCTCACTTTCCTTTTGAGTCTACAAGGGCTAGTTCTGAAGTCATCCTGAAAAGTGAAAATCCTGCAGGAGGTCATGATAGGAAAGCAACATGTCACCCCCATGAAGCTCTGGCAGGGCCAGTCACCCCCACTGGGGAGCAGATCACTTATTCTTCTTTTGAGCAACAGACAGGGTAATTGGCATACATTATATGCCATGTGTATCAGTCAGGGTTCACTGGAGAAACAGATTTAATATAAAATATTACATCTGATATATAAGGATTTACAAGGTAGGCTACAATGGCCACCTGAAGAGTCAGGGGTAGAAGAATGTACAAGGGCCATCTGTGCACCAGAGAACTGGACCATCCAGTCAAAAGTTGAAGGCCTCATTGCAGAGTCCCATGTGAATCTGTATGGGGAAGGTGAAGGGTCTGCTCTGGAAGCCTGAAAGACAGACATCCAAAGGTGATGCTGAAGACTGGAGCTCCTCTGAAGAAGCAAAGCCAGACTGCCTTCTTTCCCTTTTTATCCATCCAGGCTACAAGCCTATTGGTTGGTGCCACCCATACCCGGGGTGTCTTCTCTCTTCAGTAAATTCATCATCCACACACATCCAGAACTGTGCTAACCCAGTCTGCTAGGTGTTTTTTATTCTGGCTGACACTGCAATTAACTATCACGTTATGCTTGAAAAAGGTTAACTTTTGAACACCCAAAGAATGCCTAGCCACATTAGAAGTGGCCGTAGGGGGGCCAATTCAGGTTTCCAGCCTCATAGGCTCACTGTGGGGCAAACACTTATTGGCTCAGGGGTGAGGATCCATGGTCCACACTATTGAAATTGGCCCTTTCCCCTTTTGCTGAGCTTAAAGAGTTGAATTCATCAAAACGAAGAGCTCATGTGCTGCATGCAGCTGTATCTGGCTTCGGCGTTCCTGGCCACAACAACACATCCTGCTCTCCTAAAGTCTCAGGAACCTGGCAAAACTCCCTGAAACTTGCAAGGAGTTTTCTGTACAAGTCATGGGATCAGAAGAAGTCTGCTGCCTTCTGCAAGGTACAGGTCAGAAGCCAGACCAGAAAATGAAGCCAGTGGCAGGGATAGGCTTGGCACACAAGCCAGACCCATGGGGGATCCTGGATGGGACACGAAGTCAGAGAGGGAGGGGAGAGCCTGGGGAAGTGGTGACAGGGCCACTAAGAGAAGAACCCTGGTAGACAAAAGGAATTTGTTGGCTGAGGAATTTTGTCAACTCAGGTAAGGCTTTGCCCAGGGCTCTGATTGTTTAATAGGGACAGTTTCTCTCCTTCACTCAGCTTCTCTTCTTCAGCACTGGCTTCCTTTTCAGGAAGGCACCTCGTCACAGTCCTGGAAGGGGAGAACATATAATTTTGGCTCAGCCCTCCGAAGTTCCTACTTGGGATGGACTTCTGTAACAAAAGACAGATTGACACAGGAAAGCAAGCAAGTTTATTGTTTGTGATGTATACCACGCAGGAGAAACAAAGTTGTCCATTGCTGTGGTGGACTGACAACTGGTGGTCAACTGTAACACCCAGCTGAACTGAACCAGCATGGTGCTGGGTGTGGGAGGCCCGCCTGAGGGTTGTTGCTGGCAGCAGGAGGGGCAGAACCGGGGAAGAAAAAGAGAGGCTGTAAGGAGCTACTGGGAGCTGATGGGTCTCCTGGAGGAGCTTGTCATGCTGGCCTTCCTGATGAACTCGGCTGATCCCTTCATTGAAGGAGTTCAGGACCTTACTGTCATTAAGAATGGCTTCAGTACACTTTGGGGGAGCTCTGGTCCTTGCTTTGAGCATTGCTCCCTGGCTCCAGAGAGGAAGACGGTGCATTGCTTTGTCTCCAGGAGAAGCTTGTCATGTTGGCTTTCCTGATGGGAACTCGGCTTTCCTCATCATCAGAGGAGCTCGGGACCTCACTGTTGCTGAGGATGGCTGTGGTACTTTTCGGGGGAGCTCTGGTCCTTACTCTGAACATTGCATCCTGGCTCCAGTGCAGATCCCTCAGCCTGCTGGCACAGATCATTCATCCCACTGGCATAGACTCTCTAGATTTCACCACTGACCTTTGGCCCTTCCCAGCACAGATCTGTGAAACAGGCCTGCGTGAGACATTGTCATGGGCTCTAAGCCCCTCTTGTGGGAGGCATTGTTATGAGCTCTAAGTCTTCAGCCGGACTCCTGCAGGATGTTACCATGGGATCCAGGCCCTCAGCTGGATTCTTTGGTCTTTAGTGTGTGGACAGATTTCCTGCACTGTCTTTCGTATATGATTCTTTGGGTGACTGTTAGGAATAATCTTATAAAATATGGGTCTGGTATTGTTCCCCTTGCAAAACCCCAAACTACAACAGTCACTATCAGCAAAAAACAATAATTCTTACAAAAGTGACAAGAAAAAAGGAAAGCAGTCCTAGGCCTCTAAAGGTGGGAAAGTAAATACTAATACACTAAGGGAGTCTGTTTGTAGTTTCTTGAGCCATTTCTGAGCTGGTAAAGTTGTCTTCAGTAGAGGAGAATGTATATCCTGTCCTTAGAAGGAAAAGGCAGAGTGGGCCATAGAAAGAGCTTCCCCCTTTGGGTACTGCTTCTCTGTTACCTTCAGCTCAAAAACATTTGTGTGAACGAGGCATATTCTGGAGTGACATATTCTAGTTTCTTTTACCCCAAAATGGTAGCCAACAAATTCCAGGGCATGTCTTGCCAGCTTGTGTTTTGCTTGGAGAGCACAGGAGGTAATGGGCTGCTGCCATCCGGTCTGCATTCTGGGGGAGCCGGTAGAACATGACAGGGGCGAAGGCTTGGAAATCAGGCTGACCCACACTCCAAAGGCATCAGGCGCTGCCTCTAGTGGCTTTAAGACTTGGGCAGGTTGCTTACCTTCTCCCAGCTTCAACTGAGGCCCATAAGTAAAATAGGTGTAACAGTATCTAATGCACAGGGTCGCTGGAAGATTTATGGGATGGTAAGGAAAGCTCTTGGCATAGTGCCCAGGGCCTAGTGACCCTTAATAAATTAATGTCCCTGGCATCCCTTAGCTATACGACATGGCAGCAGGTGGATGGGGCAATGAGGGGTGGGGAGGGTCTCTGAGTGGGAGCTGATGTGAAGCTGTCTTTCCAGGCCTGGAGAAAGGGAATAGGGAAGGATGGAAGATTGGGGGTCCTGAGGAGGGTAGGTGGGAGGAGGATGGAGGGCTGGGGGAAACTGTGGTGGGAATGGAGTGGTTGGACTGGGGAGTGCTGGATGGAGGGTTGGGAGGCACTGTGGGGAAGATGGGTGTGTTGAGGGCATGTAAAGGGTGGGTTGGGAGCACCATGGGAGGAGGACAGGGGGAACCTTAGGGAGGTTGGGGGTGGGTGAAGATTGGGAGCACAGTGGGGAGGATGGGGCCATGTGGGGAGGATGGAGGTCGGTGGAGGATTAGGGGCACTGTGGGTGGATGGGGAGGATGGAGGAGTGGCGAATGCTGTGAGGAGGGTGGAGAATGTTGCGAGTTATATCTAAAATGTCCCCCAGACATCTCATGTACTCAGAGGTGGGGTTCTGGAAGGTGACTGAATCATGGGAACACTGTATTCATCAGTGGATTCATCCATCAATGAGTTCATGACTGAACGTGCTGTGAAGAGGTGAGGTCTGGTTGGAAGGGGTGGGTCACCGTGGGCATGGCCTGGAAAGGTGTATTCTTGCCTCTGGCTCCTCCCTTCTCTCTCTTCTTCCTGGATACCCCGGGTTGAGCAGTTTTCCTCTGGCAGGTCCTTCCACCATGCCACTTCTGCCTTGGAGTCAGCAGACCATGGACTGAACTCACTGGAAATTGTGAGCCAAATAAACCACTCCTCCTTTAAATTGTGTGCGTTGGGTATTTTGTCCCCACAACGGGAAAGTGACTAGTACAGAGAAGAATGGAAGATTAAGGGGCATTGTAGAAGGGACTGGGTAGGGTGAAGGACTAGGGGGATTGTGGGGTGGGTTGAGGATTGGGAAGCAACGTTGGGAGAATGGGACGGTGTGGAAAGTTGGGGGAATGAAGGACTGAGGAGCACTGTGGACAGCAGATCACCTGCAGGGTTTCAGCTATGGGAAGAGGAGGGTGTGCATTCAAGGCTCCCTTGGGAAACCTTGGTATCAGAAGAGAAGCAGGACTTAGACAAATTTCTGGAGAAAAATATATTTGAGGGGCTTGTCAAGGAGAAGAGTCTGAAAGAAAAGGAATATGGACAGACAGAAGGAGCAGAATCAAGAGGCCACGGCAAGGACTGTACAGACGGTAAGCAGCCAGTGGCCCAGGCACTGTGAAAGTAGAGCAGCTGGTGCAGGAAGGACTGGGAGGGCAGGGGCAGGTGTTGAGCAGATTCAAGGTCATGGGATAGGTTGCTTGGTTTTATTTTGAGTGGAGTGTGCAGGCTCCATGCAGAGGAAGTGAGTCTCTGGCCTGAGAGCTGCATCCACGTGGGAGGGAGGAGGAGGGGAGAGAGGAGCATAGAACTGCAAGAGTGGGGTTGGGCCGGGAGCTGTAGGGCACCGAGGCTCCTGACACTCTGAAGGTGGGGAAGGCATCAAAGAGATGGGCCAAGGGGCGTTCTGGATTAGGGTAAGGAGGGAGAAGGAGGAGCAGTGAGCCTGGTGGTCCTTCAGGAGGAGGCAGACCTCGGCTAGAAGGGGAGCTGACTTCAGGGTGTGGCCGGCAGTGGTGGAGGAGAGCTCGGGCCTGGCCAGATGCAGTCACTCTGGAGGGCCTGCACTTACAGAGGCTTGAGCACGCAGGGTGCACACTCACATTGCTTATCCTTTCCTCCTGGATTTGTGGTCCTTTTTTTTTCTTTTTTAACCCCAACAGTCTGTGGAGACCGAGCCCGGGTCTCTATTTTGCAAAGGCCTCTTGTGTTTTTTATTTGGTGCCCTTCATAAACGAGGGCTGGGGAAGCGGGATGGAATTAAAACCACATCCTGGGGTAATGAGATCTCTATGGAGCCTCACTTCCTTTTTTCCCTCTGCCAGACACGGCTCCCTTGCCTGCTTGCTTGGAGACAAGCACATCTCTGCCTGCCCTGTGGAAGTCAGCCGGGAAATCCAACTCACGTTCCATATTTAACCCTGTCTGCGCAAACTCCCTGCATGGTGGGAAAGGGACGAGTTCACCTGTGATCACGCGTGGGTAACTGCAGGTCTGCTGTTTCGAGGAGTGAGGGAAGGTTTTTCTGACATGGTAAGCCCTGGGGAAGAGGGGTGGACAGGGCGCCTGCTCCCGTCCTGGAGTACAGATTGGGAGAAGGCTGGAGTGGTGTGGCCTGTGGGAGCCCTCCTGGTGGGGAAGGACAGGGAGCACTGGGGACGACGACTCAGGATCCAGTCAAACCCCCGCTCCTAGCATTCCCGTTGGTTGCTCAGCAAGGGGCCCTGTGGCCACTCCCCACTAGCTTTGGGTGGCTGGACTAGAACCATTGTCTCAGTTTCCCTAAACACAAATGAGTAAAAAATGAGGTGTTTAAGAATCAGGGGTGACACAGGCAGTGATGTAAAACTGAGACAGGAAGCAGAGAGGCCCAGCCTCCGTCCCTTTCCTCCTGACAGCCGTGGCCCGGCGGGACCTGACTGGGGGCTGGCAGGCCCTCCCCTGCTGTAGGAGCTGCTGCCAGTTCTCTAGGAGCGGCCAAGAAAAAAAAAAAAAGAGAAAGAAACAAATACGAAAGAACCATACCTAATGACAAAGACTGGGGAGGCACCAGGACTTGTTGATATGTCCTGGGCTGCCTTCTAATCCCAGCAGGCCACAATTAACGCTGCAGCTCCTCCTTGAGATGCGGCAGAACTCACAGCAGCCATGGGTTTTGGCCTCACCCCCTTTTTTTTTTTTTGGTTTTTCTCGGTACCGGGAATCGAACTCACAACCTTGCGCTTGCCAGGCAGGCGCTGTGCCGCTGAGCTAAATTCCCAGCCCCAGGCCTCACCACTTTTGAGGGAGTGGGGGAACTGTCTGTCCACATTTTACCCTGAGGACCGAGGCTGACCTAGATGCCCACGCATGCTCCTCAAGTCCTCTACCGCTGAGCTACAGCCTTAGCTTCCTGATAAACTCTGATAGAGGTTTCCTGATTAGACTTCCTTCCTGGGCTTGCTGTCTCCACAAATCGTGGAAAGGACATAGGGCCTGGGGAAGCCAGGCCACACCCACCCTCCTGGAATAAGAGAGCAGGGTCCCTCAGGGGCTCCCCAGCGTGAGGGAGGACCCGAGGTAGAGGGGAATGTTCTAGAACAAAGATGTGGTCTCTCCCTGCAGCTTCTCAGGCGGCTGTGGCGACAGTGGCTGTCTCCTGGCTTCTGGGTCTCCGCTGGAGCTGAGGATAAGGGGATGAGGCTGTGGTCACTGGCTTGGAGACTGGTAGCTCAGCCTGACTTTGAGAGTCTTCCTTATTTTCTCATTTCCCCATAAGAAGCACCGCACATGCTCCTGGGGCAGCTGCACTGGTGTGGACCCCTTCCCAGGAAGTTTCCAGCGGCAGGCAGATCCAGTCCACAGGCAAATACCTCCAGCTTCAGGCCTTATCTTTTCTGCGCTAAGTGGCTGCCACATCATTCAGTGATAAAAAGAGAGATTACATTCCTGTGAGGTTAATGATAGCAAAATTATATTCCTGGCACACAAAGATAAGGCAAGGCTTGCTGTGCATTATGGTTCTTACACTGACAGGAGGAAACTCTAAGGGTCACAGGTGGCTCATCGCTTTCCAGACACCCAGTCTCTCCCCTCCAATATAAGCGTCTCTGGTCAAGAGCAGGCTGGGGGCAGCGTGGGAGCTGTATGTGCAGACCTGTGCCCCTCCGTGCCAGGCAAGAAGATGGAAAGGTTGCCCGTAGGAGCAGAGCCGTTGTGGACATGGCTGTGCTTGCTCACCGTGCATTCCCAGCACCTGGCCTACGTTGGCACAAAGTAGCGGCTCACCTACGTCTGGGGGAGGGATGCAGAGCCTGCGGGGAGGGCCGGGCCTTCCTGGCAGCACCTTCCCTCTGGCCCAGGAAGGGGGCCACCTACGCTGGCACCTTGGTCTTGGGCTGGGAGAGAACACACTTTTGCGGGGCCCCCGCAGTTGGAGGTCTGCGCTGGGCAACGCCAGCAAATGCACAGGAAGAGCGAGCTGCAGGGGACCTTGGAAGCCGCCTCCTGACCCCTCCCCCTTTCGATGGAGGGCAGCAGAGGCCGGAGAAGGCAAGCCGGCGACCACAAGTCACTGCGGGACTCCTCAGGCGGAGCCCTAGAGCGGAGAGAGGCTGGGAGGGCGGAGTGGGGCGGGGCAGGAGGCAGGTTAGAAGCCCCCTTCTGAGGCAGGGAGCGCCCAGGGTGCTCAGGGGAGAAGCACGGCGTCTACGCTGCCTGAATGCGTCCCTGTGTGATGGTGGTGCGATGTGTGTGCACGTGTGTGACACTGGTGTGGGGAGGCGGTGCCCCTGGAGGCCTGGCTGAGCTGCCCCTGAGGGTCCCTGGCCTGGGAGGTGGAGGCTGAGGGTGCTGAGGGCCTCAGCTGGGGGAAGGGGAAGGGCCGAGGGAAAACTGATCCTGGAGGAGGGCTACTCTCTCCCACAGGACCTTTGTTGGCCCCAGGGGAAGTGTAAAGGAAGAGAACTCAGCTCGAGGGGAGGAGGAAGTGACTAACGTTCAGGTTTCTCCAGGGACAGGCAAGGTGCCCTCTGCGGGGAAAGTGCCATCATTATATAGTCATTCAACAAACATGGGCTGAGAGTCTACCTGTGCAGGCTCTGTCCAGCAGTGACCACATAGACATGGCCACTACGCTCCAGGGGCTCACTCTGCCGAGGGAGGCAGACACCACGGACGCCATTAGAACGTCACCGAGCTCGGCATAACCCTGAAGGATGCCACGGAGGGCTCCGGAGGGCTCTGGGAACTTTCAGCCCAGCTGGGCCTGCAGGGAAAGCTGAAGGATGGGAGGGGCAGGAGTCAGGGAGAAGGCATTTGTGGGCGAGGGAGTGGCACGTGGGGGACGGCAATTGTCTTCGGACCGAGGGGGGCTGTGGGTGGCCTGATTCTAAGGGCAGCAGTGACCAGCGCTTCCTGGACCGTGGTAGAGACTGCAGGAGAGTTTAGGCAGTGCTGGGAGACATCACAGAGGAAATCAAGAGAAAGCAGGTGGATGGACCGGCCCGGAAGCCAGGAGAAAAGTCTGGGCTCCCTCGTCCAAGCCTCTCACACCTCTCAGGCCGGGTCTGCGGCGCATGAGGAGGGAGTCTGGCGTGACTATCTTGGAAGCTGGAGTCCCAGCTCGTGGGTGTTGTCTGGAGCAATGCTGCCTCCTTGTGGCCACTCTGCAAATGCACACAGTGGGTGTGTCAGAGCTCAGAGCCCGGCTGGGGGACCCCGCCCCATCTCCTCCGAGGTCGCCGCTGCCTCTCTCTCGGTCTGTTTTCTAGCCCTCGGGTGTCTCCATCCTGTCTTGGCCGCCTGTCAATCTGCCTCCAGCAGCGTGTCCCTGGGCGTGTCCCTTTGTTTCTGATTTGTGTTAGCCGCGCTGCCTTCCTTCAGTCCTGGGGCTTGGGCTGTCTGTCCCCCGTCCTTCCCATCAGTCTCCGCCTCATTTTCTGCTGGATCTCTATTTTTGTCTCTGGCTCGCTCCCTGCCCCCTCCCCTGTCCCTGTGTCCTCGAGCTGGGGTCACGCTTGCCCTCCTCGTGTTGGAGCTGGTTCTTGAGAAAGAGCGGGACTCTCCGTTTGTTCCAGAATGAGTCAGGAGCTCCAGGAGGACCAGGGCTCGGGTCCCACCCCGCGGTGACCTCAGAGAGGGTGCACAAGGGCAGCGGCGCCGCGGAGCTGGGGACTGGGATGAGATTTTCCGAACTGCGTTTATGGGGCTGGTGGATGCATTCCAGGGGGCATCAGGGAAGAAGAATGAGCGAGCTGGCCACCAGCTTGGCACTGTGCGGTGGGCACTGTGCCCTGTCTCGCCTCGTCTGGGGAGGAACCAGCTCGTGACACCCACTGGATGTTATGTTTGCCTCCTGTGTGCTGGACTGTCTCCCCCCTGCCACACATCCTTGATGGGTCTTTGCACAAACTGTCTCCTCCTAGAATAGTTTGCCCCATCTCACCTCACCTTAGAAATCGCCTCTTCTAGGAGGGTGTCCCTGAATTACAGGGTCCGAGATGGACCTCCTTCCTGTCTTCCAGGGCAGCACCCTCTGATTCTGCCTCCCTCACCTGTGTGTCTGTAGCTGTATTATCAAGGCTTTGGCCCTTCTTCAACCCCCAAAATACTCAGTGAAAGGATTCCCGGAGTCCTTCCCAGCTTCACCAGATGCCACTTCTTCCCAAAGCCTCCCGTCTGTGCCATTAGGATTGTGACCTGTCGCGCAGGGGCCACTGGTCATGTGTGATGGCTTATGATTAAGTTCTTTATAACGACATAGGACGAGGAACTCATCTCTGCAGTCACACAGCCACATTTCAGATGCTCGGTGCCCACACAGGCTGGTGACCCCTGGCTCTAGGGATAGGGCAGGCACAAGCTTTGGAAAACATCCCATTCCTGAGGTCCTTTCCTACCTCAGAGGGAAGGTAAGGATATGAGGTGTCCTCTCAGGATCCCTAGGGACCAGCATATCAGGTAATAGATGTGTCAGATGGAAGGGTGGATATATGGACAGATGACACACGATACGGACAGATGAGTGGATATATGGATGGATGGACGGGTGGATATATGGATGAGTGGATGGATAGATGGATGTAGGGATGGGTTTAGGGATGGATGGATGAGTGATATATGGAAGGACAAGTCTACAGACGGAAGCTTGTGTTCCCAAAATTTCTGCCTTGTGGAAGTAGCAGGGGGATTCAGGCCGAGGCAGCACGCCCTCTGAGCTGGCCAGGTGAGCGCTGTGCAGAGATGTGCTTCCTGAGTAAGGGTTGTTCTGCTCCAGCTTCTGCAAATGAACAGAGAGCCTTCAGTTGCCCTCAATCTATAAATTTGAGTGACCATCTTGGGACTTAAGGATATAAAACCTCGAATGTCCTTGCAGGTAGAGAGATGGACTCGAGCCCCAAGAGGAGGCTGGGAGACTGGCAGGGGACAGGCTGGAGTCCTGTCTGGCCCGGGGCAGAAAGGAGGGGAGGCAGGCCTGAGCGGGACCCTCAGACCCGAGCTCTTAGAGCAGCGGGTCCGGCTATCAGGGCACTGGGGTGATGCAGCAGAAGTAGTGCTCAGGGACAAGCTCTTCTCTGTCCCCAGGTGCTGCTCTCCACTTAGGCGGCTGGGCACCAGTCCTGTCTTGTTTGGACTGTTCTGAAGGGACAGCCATCTCCCCGCCCCTGGGCAGGAGAGAAGGTGATCATATGGTCAGACCCACCACACACGCACAGCACATACCCAGGTACAGACATACTACATAGGTACACTCTGTCACAGAACACTCACATGAGTGTTCAAACACACATGGAAAATGCATGCTCACACACTCACATGCGTCACAGACACACTTACATACTACTCCCCCCCTGCAAGCCCTTAGTGATGCCAGCATTCCTGGGGTGATCTGTGACTTTGTTGGACCAGACTGGGAGTGGGGACACTGCAGCCGCATCTGACCCCCACCAAAGGGAGAGACCACTTGCTGCTCAGAGCAGTGGGCTGTAGGGACCCAGACATGCTGTGGGATGGGGGGTGACCCCTGCTAACCTGCAGGCCCCCTCTCTGTGAAGCCTGGAGGGGCAGAATTAAACCAGGCCTTGGCATTTGGGTGACGCTCAGGGGAGGGAGGGTGGGAGTTGCCATGGGCAAGGACGATGGGGAACAGGGGACACGGCCCAGGCAACCCGAAGCTCCCACCCTTGCATACCCTACCTGTTTCTTTCCTGTCCTTTCTACTTCCAGATTTCTCAGCATCTTTGTCCCAAAGGCCCTGGACGTTCCTGGAAATCTTCCTGTCTGGCTCAGGGACAGGGCCCAGGAGGCAGTGGGGGAAGGGCAATCTGCTTGTCTTCCGTCTGTCTCTCTGTCTCATCCCTGCAGACCTAGCTGGGGAATAGGGCTGGGTGGGGCACTGTAGCCCCAGCCCTCTTGGGGTGTGGAGTGGCTGCAGGGTAGCGGGCAGGAGGGCAGCCTTTGGGGCTTCTGCAGTGGTCTGGGAACTGCTGTCGTCAGGAGTCATTCCAGGCAGGGCCTGTGCCAGTGCTTTGCTAGGGGACTCAGGGGCCTGGTGCTTACAGTTGAGTGACCCCAAATGTGTCCCAGGAAGGGAAGGGGAAACACACCCAGGGTCACTCTGAGGTGTGGGAGAGAGATGGCCCAGACCCTCTTAAAGACTGAGGCCTGTGTGGCCTGTCTGTGTGACACTGAGTAACGGGGCTCCCGGGGGCTGTGCCTGGGTGGGCAGAGCCGTGTGGAGCGGCAGAAGCTCAGGGGCTGATGGTCAACCTTCAGCGGGGTCCAGCCTAGGACCCTGGGTCACAGGCCTGCTTTGGAACTGAGAGTTGCCTCTGACGTGGCGGCCGGGAAGCCTGGGAGCTGGGGCCCCTCGAATCCCAGCCCAGGACCCCGGCTCTCCAGAGGTGGTGACACAGGAAAGGGGGTTTGGTGCGCAAAGTTAGGTCCTGGCTGGTGGCCTTGGCTGTCACTGTCCTTTCTGGGCCTCAGACTCCTCATCTTTGAAGAACGAAGACCAGTAGGTCCTTTTGGGGGTCGGAGGAACCGTGTGTGCAAGAACCTGGCCCGTCCAGGACGAGGAAAGGAAGGGGTGACGTCCCCTCCCCCGTCCTCCTTCCCCCATTTGCTCTTGGTCCCCAGACTGCTCCAGCGCCTCCATCCAGGCTGGGTGACAGGACTGGAGGAGGGAGGCTTTCCTGCTGGCCTGGCCATGGAGACGCCAGGGGACACTGCTGAGAACGGGCCCTGTGCCCCTGTCCCCAGACAGGCTCACCTGCAGGCCACACCGAAGAGCCACACAGAGCCCTGAAGATGCTGCCTCTGCCCAAAGGGCCCTGCGCTTGCCTTGACTGGGGCCACCTCCATGCCGGCACTGTGCACCTGGGGGCCGGAGCAGCTTCCTGTCCCTCTGACACCCAGCTGGAGAGAGGTAGCTGCTGAAGAGCCCACAGAGTAGTGGGTGAGCAAGGACGCTGTCCCCTGGAGGAGCTTGAGTGCACCGGGCGAGGGCCTCATCTGTCCCTGTGTCCCGTCATTCCCAGGGAATCTGACAGCCGGAGAGAAGCTGCCATCTCTTTGCCTGGCCCTGGTGTCATCCTTGTGAGAGATAGTTTCTTCTCCCAGCGGTGAGTCAATGCACCCTCATTTCATAGGCACAGAGACCCAGCCGGGAGGGGAAGGCACCCCGGGCGGTGGGGATGGTGTTGACGGTGGGGATGGTGTTGACGAGCGCCCCCTGGTGACCTCAACCCTGTCAGACATCGCCTGAGCTGAGCTGAGCCACACAAAGCAAAGAGGAGCAGAGAAGAGGAGGAGGAAGAGGAACAAGAGGGGGAGGAGGAGGGAGAAGGGGAAGTGGGGAGGGGAGAGGCGGTGGGACTCGGTTTCCCCGGCAGGGCTCAGAGGTCAGCATGGCACCCGCAGTCTCCCGTGCCGGCCGTTTGCAGACTGTAGCACCTTGGGCAAGGAATTCGGCCTTTTGTGCTCTTGCCTGTTTGTGTTTTTTCATCCACCCTGAAATGAGGGCGGTAGCAGTGTAGAGGCCACGGAGTGGATGCGAGTTCTTACTTGAGCGGGGTTTGGAATGTGCCCAGACACGGTAAGTGCTGTGAATGCCTCTATTGACCGCTGCAACCGCCGCACCCCTCATGGCTTAGGCGGATCCACAGACGTCTCCTCCTGGGAGGGAAGCGGAAATGGCCCTGGAGCAGAGAAGGGGCAGGGGAGCCTGCTTTTCTGAGCCCACTGGTCCACCTGGGGGAGGACTGGGTCTCCGGTGATCAGGATGGGGCTGTGCTCTGCCTCTAGGGACTGTGGGGACAGTGTTGTCTGGACTGTGGAGGACACAGGCTGCCCAGGCTTCCCTGGCCCAGGGGAGGAGCCCGGGGGGCATAGCGAGTTCTTTCAGGTGTGAACCATGTCAGCGTCACACGTTCAGCACACACAGAAACATGCAACACACGCGTAAGCCCCCTTCTAAGGCCTTCCTACCCCTTCCACCCACCCCAGCCCGTCCTTCAAAACCTGCTTCTCCAGATTAAACCGTTAATAATCTAAATTGCATCCTTCTAAATCTTTTATGTGCAGTATTTTAATAATCTAAACAAACACATAGACTACTATTTTGGAATAAAAAGGAAGGAAGGAAATTATATAATAGTACTCACACTGTTCTGCAACCTGATTTTTTTCCACCTATGTTGCATTGTGGAAATCCTCCCACACCCGTGCTCCATGCTTTCTCCTGCTGCAGAGCATCCCGGAGCAGGGGCGGCCATCTTCCCTGTAACTGGCTGTCCAGAAAGGGACGGTAGGCGGGTGTCCACTGCGGTTAAGAACGCACCTTTGTCCCCACACCCACACCCACACCCACATCCACTTGAGGCTAAATTTCCCACACGAGAGGAGCCACGGAGGGAAAGGGAATGTGCGTGTTAGAGGGTGGCGGGGTGCATGCTTTTGTGGTTGGCTGGTGCGAAGTCCTGCGAGTGTGTCTGCACGTCCAGGGAGCGGGTGGAACACAGTGCCCCCGACCGTCACCCTGAGGGTGGCTGGGGTCACCCTTCATTGTGCCTTTGTCTCCTTCACCTGGACCACAGTGCTAGCTGCAGTCCTTTTCACTCTCCCAGCCCATTCGCTTCCGTAGGCTGTGGACAGCCCAGGGCACCTTTGCTCTTTCTTGGAGCCTCCATCCCGACTCTCAGCGGTGACGTCACTTCCTGTCTCACTGAGAGCGCAGAGGCCACAGAGAGACTATCTGATCTCCCGTCCCACGCCGCCTGCTGCCTGCACTGGGCCTGCCTCCTCTGCCTCCTCCCAGGCCAGGCCACCCCGCCTCTCCATCAACTGAACCTTAATTAAATTAATTAATTAATTAATTAATGTTTTTGAGACAGGGTTTCACTATGCAGTTCAGGCTGCCCTTGAGCTCATTTTGTAGCTCAGGCTGGTCTCAGACTCATAATAATCCTCCTGCTTCAGCCTCCTGAATGCTGGGATTGGAGGCGTGTGCCACCATGCCAGCACAACTGAATCTTTAAAAACGTGTATGATTGGGATACGATGTGCACCCCACAAAATCACCCTTAAAAGTGTACAGGCTGGCACATGCTTAGTTGTGTGACCCTCAGCACTCCCTAATTCCAGAACATTTTTATCACCTCCGGCTCATCAGTAGTCATCTCCCATTCTCCCTCCTGGCTGCCACTACTCTGTCTGTCCGTCTGTCTCTATCTCTAATCTCACCCCGACAGATGCACCTTTCTAGACATTCTATATAAAGGCAATCACACATGAACTGTTTTTTTTTTTTTTTTTTTTCCCCGTACTGGAATTGAACTCACGACTTTGCGCTTGCCAGGCAGGCACTGTGCCGCTGAGCTAAATCCCCAGCCCCACATGAACTCTTTTGTGACTTTTTTTGGTATCAGGAATCAAACTCAGGACCTTGAGCTTTCTAGGCAGGCACTGTGCCACTGAGCTATACCCTTGGCCCCCTCTTTTGTGACTGACTTTTTTACTTGGAACATGTTATGGTTTGTGTCTGGGCATCCCCCCAAATCCTCATGCAGTCATGCTGCAGGCTTCTAGATTTATGACTGATTTATGGTCCAATGTTGGAACTATGGGTGTGAGTGCTACACCCGCCCTGGGGCAGGTAGTTTGCATACAATGTAAGGGAGAGAAAGAGGCTGCTTGCCACTGCTCCTCCCTTTTGCTCTTGTTGCTTTGCTGTTTTCCACTGCCATGAACTCTTGCCCCCTGCCATGTGCCACTCTGCCTTGGAGCCAGCCAAGGATGGACTGAAACCTACTGAACTGTGAGCTAAATAAACCTTTCCTTCATTAATTTTGAGTATTGGGTAATTTGTCCCAGCAATGAGAGAAAAGTAACCAAGACAGAACATTGATCTCAAGACTTATCCACGCTATAGCACGAATCAGCGTTCACATCCTTTTGATGGCTGAATAATATTCCACTGTTTAGATGGATATACAATGCTTTTTAATCCATTGGTAAATGGATACTCTGGATGTATTATAAATAACACCACAGGGAGTATTCACGGACAAGTGTTGTTACCAAACCAGGCCTGTTTTGCCTCTGCCTCTAATGACTGAAACTGTGAAGAGGAAGAATTTTACTATGAGGCAGCCAAGCCTGAGGAGATGGAGCCCCAAGTCTCAGATCCCTCCCTGCTTCAGAACCTGGGGATGTTTACAGGCTGAGGGGTTGGGAGAGGTGATTGGCTGACCTATGTGTCAGCTGTGATCTAGAGGCAACTAAAGGCAAGTAACAAAGAGCAGGTGAAATGGGTCAAATGTGGGAAAGCAGGGGCTAAGGGGAGGGAAAAGGACTCAGAAAGCAAGCAGATAGTTTGTTCAGGTTTTCCCTTAGTGTCAGTTTTTGTGTGGGTATCTGTTTTTATCTTTCTTGTCTAATCCGAGGAGTGGGATTACTAGGTAGGCCCTCTGGTTCTTCATGTTTTTAACTCTTTGAGGAACTGTCACACTGTTCTGTGAGTGGCTGCCCCACTCGACATTCCCATCAGCAGGGCACAACATTCCAGTCTTTCCCCTCCCTCACCAGCACTTGTTATTATCTGCCTTTTTAATTGCAGCCTGCCCAGTGGCCTGCAGCATCTCACAGGAAGTGCAGTCCCATCTCCTTACCTGCTTGAGCTCAGAGCTCTCATTTTCTCTCTCGGGTCTGCTTCACTGCATTTTCCCCTCTCTCCCCCAGCTACCCCTTGGCAAGCAAGCAGGATCTTATTTCCCCACCATAAAAAAACGCAAATGAAACAGACTTCTTTTAACCTGGCTCCAGCTCCCTCCCCATCTTGCTCTGATAGCAAAACTCCACAAAAAAGCTTTCCCAGCTTCTGTCAGCTTGCTTGAATGTGCTGTTGTCAGGTGTCTGTCCCTAAACTGGCACCACAGCGTTTCAAGGTCACACCGGTTTCTCCAGGAGGCCTTGCCCTGGAGCAGCAGCCTTTCCCACAGGTAAGTACTTCCTTCCCTTTCTGACCTGGGCCCGGGATTTCCCCTCCTGGGTTCCCCTCCTTCTGGGGCCCTCCTGCTGACTTCCTTTGCTGTTCCTCAGCAACATCCTGACTTTGAGATGTCCGAAGGCTCCAGGGCTGTCCTTGCTCCCTCAGGGTCTTGGGGGGCTCTGTGTGCCTATGGCTTTAAGTGTCCCACACTGCTGATGACCCTCGGGCTGTGGCACTGGGCAGGGCCTCTCCCCTGAGCTGTGGACTCTGCTCTCCTTGGCATTCCCTGCCGAGCGTTGAGGGGCAACTCAGAGCTGGCAGATCTCCAGTGGAAGTCCCAAGTCCTCCCATCGAGCCCGCCAATCGGGGTCTCAGCAGACAGCAGCACGCGCTTCTGCAGCAGACGCCTGGCGGTGCTCCTGGACCCTCACACCCAACAAGCCCTGTCCCTTCGCATCCGAGGGCCAGGCCAGCTTCCTCTCCCACTGGAAGGTTACAGTGCCTGTGACTGGCATCCCGGCTTCCACCTTTGACTCCAAGGTCTGTTCTCAACACAGAGCAGAGAGCCTCTTAAAATCTGATCCAGTAGCATTGTTCCTCTGTGCAGAGCCTGGCAGTGAAGCCCCTGTTCATGGAGGCAAAGTCCTTGAGGTCATCCTGCAGGACTGTGGCCTCGTCCCTGCCCCTTGTCACCCTCCACGGGCTCCTCACTGCCCCTCGCTGGCCCCCAGACCTGTCAGCCTCTGAACTTGCTGTTCGCACCACCTCCGTTAATTAGCTCAAATCTGCAGGACTCTCTGCTCACCTCCTTCAGGCTTTTCTCGGATGTCACCGCCCAGGTGAGGCCATGTTTGGCCCCTGTGCAGAGTCCCAGCCTCCTTCCGCCTTCCTGCTTCATTCTCCTCGGTGCCTGTGCAGTGTGTGTTGTGCTCACTGGCCTTGCTTATTACCCATTTCCCAAGGGCAAGCTCTGCAAGGGCAGGACAGGGCAGGGCTTTCTGTCTGTTTTGTTCACTGTTGGATACCCAACCCCTCAAATACTGCCTGCTGCACCGTAGGTGTGGAATAAATGTTTGCTGGATGAATTGGATGGAGCTCAGTGTCAGACAGCTTGCCTTGCTTGTGCAAGGCCCTGGATTTATTGGTGGACTCTAAAACAAACAATCCCCCAAACGTGGGCTAGGGGTGTTGCTTGGTGCCGGAGTGCATACTTAGCATGTGCAAGGTCTGAGTTCAATTCCCAGCATTACAAAAAGGCAGAAAGAAGCTGGCATGATGGT